ATCCTGTAGAAGAAAAGGGTGTACAAGCAATTCATTCTGGACTGTACTTGTGTGATTCCAAATTGGTCTGGTTGGTCCCAGTACTTTTCTTTCCTATGTATGTAGTTCTTGAGCCCTGGTTGTTCCATGCAATTCCAGTTTTTTATCCAGAAAGAAAAGAAGGAAGAAAAAAGAGAGGGAAGGAAGAAGGAGGGATGAAGGGAAGGAGGAAAGTGGGAGGGAGGGAGGGAAAGAGAGAATGTCTCTTTATTTCATGTTACTTGCCACTACAAGAATTTTCCCATTGAGAAATGGGAAATTTAAAAAAATGAATCGAATATAAATATTGCTGGTCCAAGTACCTGCAGCCCATTACAAACCTCTGCCACAGCAATATATATTCTTTTTCTATATGCACTCTCTCAATTTAGCTTTCGTTCTCTCTCTCCCATTCAATCTATTTTTCTCATACTCTTCCAGATAATTACAGTAGAAATGAAATTATCACCCAGCAAATGACTTGGCAATATGTGTGCGAGGTTGATCTTGGGAAACCAATAAGACAAAAAAATAAAAATAATAAATCCCAAACAGGTCTTTTTATTTAACATAAGGCCAAAGAAGCTATCAGGCGTTGCTGAATACTGTCCACTAACTGTACAAAATATTAACTGCATGCCTCGCAAACACCAAAATATCCGCTGGAATGCCATAGAAATAAATAACTTCTGCTATAAACACATGAAAACATATCAAACTGTTATCTCTTTAAACATATTGTAAATAAAAAAATTACCAGTACTTCTACACAATAAATATTAAGAAACCATTGACATAGTTGAAATGCACTCATATAAATTAACAACTTTAATTACATTAGCCAAACAGACATTGGTTAAAGAACTGCATGTGGTATGCCAAAAAAAAAAAACCAAAGGAAAAAAAACCAAAATCAAAATAAAACAAACAAACAAACAGACAACATAAACCACAGAACATAAAAGGTTTTAAAACGAAACAGGCTTCAGATTATCTTGGCTTTCATAATTATATTTTTCTTTTAAAGAAAAATATCAACCCATTGTCAATGCATTGTTTTTCAAAGCATTTAAATAGAGGGTAAACCCCATCGGAAATTAATACAGAAGAAATGATTCACTTTATGCATAAAAAATAAATAATAATGTAGCTGAGACATGTGGTTTGCTTCTGCTCTTGAAGACGTGAACAGCTTCTAAGCATTCATTTTTCTCTGACCCATACAACAGCTTCTCAGTGATAAAGGGTTCAATTTAAACACACACAGTGTCCACCCCCAAGACTTCCGCCCACTTCTACAAGTTCCATTTATTGTGTAGGTTTTCAGGGTGACTAAGTTTTCTCTACCTTGAAAAGGGAAGTCGCCAAAAGGCCCACAGGAAATCATTTTATCAAGTGAACATGATAATTTGAATCTAAGCTTAATACCTTCTCTGATTTTTAGAGTCATCCTGATGTCCAATCCCACGAGGGTGACCAAAAATTCACTTGCTCTATCTAAGAGGAGAAGGCAGGTACTCTCCTTAAAATCAGAGTGTGGAATCAATCTTAAATAAGTATGAAATTGGTTGACCTTCAGGGACAAGAAAATCCCAACTCAGTGTGCCAGAATTCACCTTACTTTTTGGAAAAGAAAAGAAAAGAAAATGTTAATCCAATCTACAACATATTTATCATTCTTAAAAAAATATTTGGTAATAAAGGCTTTTCAGAGCTTTGAAGATTGGTGTGGGTAGATTTTTAAAAGCCTAGAGATGGCCCTACAGAAACAGTAGAGAGATGCAAAGATCAGAGGAAGCCACGCTTGTTTCAGGAAAACAGACAAGGAAGACCCAATCTGGTAGCATTTAAAAGCTTTTTCTTTTGACCTCATGCTATTCCATGAAAAGTGTGGCTGTTCGCAGAGCTGCATAACTTCCAAGATTATTAAAGATAGTAGCAATTTATCATTTTATTTCAAGGCCGTATACACTTAATAAAATGTTTTGGTTAAAGTTCAAAGATGTGTAATTTAATGTAAATGAAATCTTCCCATTAAAATATTGTCGTATGGAATATCATTTAGCTCTGCTTCTAATTACTGTGGCCACTCATCAAACCCCATCGTACATTCAATACGTCCAGGACTTAAAGGCTTTAGTAGATGGCATACGTATTTGAGATGAATGGAAGCCACAAAGGGGGATCAGCTGTTTTTTTAACCTCTTTTTGCTTTGGCCATTGCCTGGGCCAGCTCTGTTATCACACAGTGAACTACGACTGGGTTTCCCAGGCTATTTACAGGTTTCCATTAGTTCCAGTGCCAAAAAAAGAGGCAGTTCAAAAAGCCCTCCAACCTCTAGACTTTAGTAAATACAGCCAGGTAACGACATTAAATCTGCCTCCATGCAGCCTAGTGTGATAGACTGATCTGGTCTATTTCTCAAGAAGAGCTAAACCACCTTGAGTAATATTTGGTTTCTCACTGCTATTTTATTTTCCTACTATTAATATTTTTTAAAAATCTATGAACTGACATAGGGCTGAAAGCTTCAATATTTTGCAAAATGCTAATAATGTAATTTTCTGAATTAGACTTTGTTTTTCCAATTTTTGCAAACTTCAAACAAGTCAGTACAAATAAGGTTCTGTATTTTAAAAAGCACATAAATGAATAACTTCTGATCTAGGCAAGCTAAATACTGTAGAATAAATTAGTAACAATTTAGCTTTAAGCATGTACTTTGATATTTATAAAACACAGTGGTTTTTGTTTTTTGGGTTTTTTCCTTCTTGCATCCGAATCAACGCATATCCATCTATACATCAAGAGTTTGGGCTGTAAATTAAAATCTTCACAATTTTTACTACTGCCCACCCCATCCCTGCTCTCCATTCTTTTCCTTACTCCTACTGTCTTAAACACCTTCCCTCAAATTATTTATCGTTTTACTAGTGACAACATGATTATTGAGCCCAGCTGTGCAGGTAGTATTTCTCACAACCAGGCCTTAATCATAAAAAAAAATTTAAAAAAACCCCAAACACAGCCACTCCTTTTATCCTGGCCTAAAGGTTAATTTCTGTCCGAAAAGCTTCTGATTTAAGATTGATTCCAACAGATAATACATATGTTATCCAAAAATAATCAGCCTAGATTGAACATGAGTTTCCTGTTTTGTTTTCCCAGCAGGGAGTAAATAACTTGTAGAATGGGGGTGAAGGACAAGAGAGAGGAGGGAACTGGATCCCTGTACATTGAAAGAGGGTCTTGTTGAATATTCGCTGGAATTCCGAGGCTTTTTCCCATCCAAATTTCTGAAATGTGCCCACCTAGTTCAGAGTAAAAGCAAAAACGATAGCCTATCCTTCTTAAAAATACTGTGTTTTGCACACAAACATTCATTGCTTTAAGAACATTAAAAAATGACAGCCTGAAGTGCTTAAAATGTGTATGGACACGATGCGCCACATGTATACATACACACAGACATGCATGTGCCCGAGCACTGTATATATACACATACAAGCATGGAGCGTCCCATGAATCTGATTGAACTTGATAGCCAACAGTGTACAACTACTGTACATCCAGTATGAAATGTCCTGTTTCATGGATGTAAAAGGAGTCAAAAAACCAAACTTCTCAGGTCTTTCAAGCCTGAACACAATCCACCTTACTCAACCTTGGATCCCAACCCCTGACTCATCGACGGTGAATGATACCAACCACAGACAGACTGTTTAAAGGCTCACACAAATGTCTTTGGTGTATGTGTCTATTTTTTAAGGTACAAAATAATAATAATAATTAGAATTATAATAATAAAAATAGCTATTTTGTGTGCTGTAGCAGTTCTTTTATAGCTCACATTAAGTGCAGCTCAGAACCCGCCCCGCCCCACCCAAAGAAAATACTTGTTAAATAAGGATTAGACAGGTCGAACACCATTGTAGTGCAAATAGTAAACGATTAAAAAAAAAACACAACATTTACAAAATATAGAAATGTTTGGATCCAACAGATGGACAAACATATTCCTTTCAAGTATCTCTCCTTGAAGAAAATAAAAATTAATCAGGTTACTTCCAATACAAAAAAGTCTCTCTTTTTTTGTTCTCTCTCAGGTAAACAGTTTCAAACCTATTAGGTTGCATAGTTCTAAGATCATAAGCACCTTAACGAAATGTAACTTGGTTTTCTTTTCTCCTTGATCTTTCATGCTTCCCATTCTTGTTCTCAATGTTTTTCTCATGTTGGTTTTTGTTTTGTTGTGGAAGTGGTGCAGAAAAAGGTGTGACCACCTGCACACTAGTGTTCTTTTACCAGAATGTGTGTGTGTGCGTGTGGTGTGGAAATGCCTCTGTGTGTGTGGTGTCTGTATGGTGTGTGTGTCTGTGTCCGTGTGTGGGGTGTGTGTGCATGTCTTTGTGCAGCGTGTGTGTGTGCTGTGTGATGTATGTGTCCGTGTGTGTGTCCGTGTGTGTGTCCGTGTGTGTGGTGGGCTGTGTGCATGTCTTTGTGCAGCGTGTGTGTGTGCTGTATATGTCTGTGTGTTGGTCCGTGTGTGTGGTGGGCTGTGTGCGTTTGTGTGTGGTTGTGTCTTTGTGTGTGTGCATGGGCTGATATACACAGAGAGAGGGTCACACAGACATACCTTACGACCTGGGTTACTGGGTGGGAAAGTGCCTATAACTGGCCCTTTCAAACTCATGGCTTTCTAGATGCTACTTGGGTTGTGTCAGCCCACATTACTGCAGACCGGACAAGTTGACTTCGAGGCTCATACCGAAAGGGAACCGAAAAGGAGAGGACAATATTCCCATTTGAGCAACTGCTGTCACCCCTTGAATGCTGGAGGGAGAAGTGAAGGGCACCCCATTTTCCCTCTCCCCCCAAATTCCCACCTCCTTCACTGTTTCATCTCTGAGCCCTGGCTAAGGAATTTCCCCACATCTTCCTTCATCTGCTTCAGGTTTTGTTTTTAGTTTATTTTTTAAAAAATTTCTATTCTTCTGGTTGTTTCAGTCGGAAACCTTAAACATGTCTTCATGTCACCACTGTCTTCTCTGGACCGTCTTGCTCCCATTCCCCCCTGGGCTGAGTGCTCTATGAGCACCCACACTCCTCCACAATCATGTTCTGGATGTCCTTTTTGATGATGTTCTGCCCATCATCATAGTACAACATGGACATGGGTCTCAGCTTGGTGGGCACACAGCACGACTTGAGGTTGGCAAAGGGGCTGTGACCCCGCATGCGGTAGTGGTTGATGACCGTCGAGTGAAAGGACAGGGATGAGCCCGACGTTCCTGCGATGTGGCTGGGGCACTCACCCTCGCAGTAGTTGGCGTGATAGCCAGAGGGAGCGATGATCCAGTCATTCCAGCCAATGTCCTTGAAACTAACAAAGAACTGTTTCTTACAGCAGATGTTGACCTTGCCGTCACACTCCAAGCCCCGCCGCCGGCGCCGGTGAGGGTGGTCTTCAGACTGGCGGGCCTGCAGCATGAGGAAAGGTCTGTGCGACTGTTCCTTCTCCTCGTCCCCTCCCGCCCCTCCTTCTCCGTCCCTTTTCTTCCCTTCCCCCTCCTCTTCTCTCTTCTTCTTCTTGCCCAGCAGCACCAGGCTGGCGCCGGTCTCGTGGCATTGATCACAGGCAATCCGAATGTCCAGGGAGCTCTTGCCCTGGTCCAGCAACCGCTGGATGCAGCTGGAGACGGGGAAGATGTGCCAGGTGCTCTTTCGAGCATCCACCACCTTCTCTGATATCAACACTTCATTCCTCTCCCCCATTAAGCCCACTTCCTCGGCCTCCTCCCCTGCGTCCCAGCCGCCCTGCGGGCGCTTCTGCTGCTGAAAAAGATGGATGGTGACTTTGGTCCGGGTCCTGTTGGCCTTGGGGACTTTCAGGAAGAGCCAGATTTCCGCACGCTCCACCACGGACAGGTCACTGCCTTCTTTGGAAATCTCAAAGTGCAGCGTCTTCCTGGCTGTGCCTGAGGACGAAACAGCCCAAGAGAGAGCAGGGATACTGTTAGTTCTGGGGTTCACGGCCACTCCCTAATTTCAGGCAAGCATGGGGGCCTCTGTTACAGACCCTCTCCAACCGGGCTCCTGAAATGAAGGCCCACAGATCTTAAGGACGGTTTGGACATTTTTAAATGGTTGAAGAAAACTAGGATGCTGTGACATGTGCAAATTATATGAAATTTAAATTTCAGTGCCCATAAAGTTTTACTGGCCCACAGCTAGGCTCATTTCTTTATAGGTTGTCTACAGCTGCTTTTGCACTAGAACTTGGATTTGAGGAGCCGTGACAGACAGCGTCCGTCTGGCCCACGAAGCTTAAGTGATTTACTCTCTGGCCCTTTCCAGAGAAAGTTTGTCAACACTTGCTCTAGAAAGAAAAGAGTCTGGATCTGAGTGTGTCTGGGACACTGGGTCTGTTAACTAACTAACTTAACCTCTGTTTCATCTTTTATAAAATAGGAATGACATAGTGACATTTGACCCATTATCCCATAGGTTTGGAAGGACCCAATGGGATAACATAGATGAAGACACACTATAAACTCTAGCAAGCTGTGGAAATACTATTTTCCCCAACGCAAATATGCACACACCCGCCCCCCGCCGCTGTGTAAGTCTGCATGGCGTGTACCCACAGAGCTAGCCTACTCTTCCTCCTTGGCCACAACCCAGCCTTTTCTTTTATGTGCAAGCAGCCAGGCCGGCATGGAGTCAGGGCCCCTCTCCCATCATTTCTCCATTAAGCAGGTAAAGGGATCTTTCCCACAGGCGTATCTGTTTGCATCACTTGTTCCCTCCAATCCTTTACTGAGTTCTTTTTGCCCTCAGTATAAAACAGAACTGCACAGAACTCTGGGCTCTGCCTGAGCTACTCCCGCCTTCCAGTTCAGCTGTCTCCCACTGCCCCAACCTCATGGTACAGCCACGCAGCATGAGCATCTCATACAATCTCACACCTCCAGGCAGTGACACTTGCTGTTCTTTCTGCCGAGAAGACTCCTGCCCCCAAAACACCATCCTCAGTGGCTGCCCTTAATAAGGTTTCAGTTTTCAGATGGGATGACCCTCTTCCTAAGCACCTCTGCCATCTCCACCCACACCCTCCTGCCCGTCTAGCTTAGGACGCCCCAGGTCTGAGGTCCTGTCTGTGTCATTCACTGTCATAGCCCAGAATTTAGCAGAAAGTAGGCAATTACTTGCTTCCTCATTAACACATGGAGGCGCCCTTAGCATTGAGTTAGATGAAGGGATCCATCTCCTACCCCCGACATCCCCCAGACCACTGCCGGCATGTACCTGCTTCCCACTCTCCCGCGTCCAAATCTGACAACCATCTGAAAGTTCATCATAGAACTCACAACTCCCTGGGGAGTGGGGTGGGGTGGGGGGCTCCCTGCCTGGATTTCTATAGCTAACGGAAATCCAGCCATACTTATCACTCGCAGCCCTGAGATGTTTACAGTACTATAAATCTTAGGCCCGGTTTCAAGTTCTCTGCGGCAGAAAGCAGGCTCTTCTCTGCATGGCGAGCTGTAGATTCTGTTCTTAATTTAACACAGTCTGCACAGTGTGATTGTGCTAGTGGTAAATTCACGGAGGCCGAGGCCGAGAAGGTCTGCCTAGGAAAGGTGCTCCTCCTGCATCTCTGTATAAACTTGGGAGGAACACTGGCCCTGATGGCGGTGGTGGTGAGGGACAGACCTCGCATCTCTGGCGGGAGTTGAAATGAATCATGAAGTTAGGTTTATGATTAGATCACCAGAGCGGGGAGCAGTCAGAGAAGGAAACTGTCTTTTTTTAGGAAGCATGATGACTTTTTTTCCCAAAATGGGAATCCAGTACTCCCCTTTGCTTAAAAACGGCGGGGTGGTGGGGGGTTGGGGGGAGGGGGATGGTCGTTATTGTTTGTCTTCTAAGAGAGCAAAAGAGGAGAGTCCGGGAGACCGAGCTTCATCATTTCAATCTAAAAAGAGGGTCGGCTGTAGACTTAACGTGGTAGGGTCCTGCAGAGACCGGAGGAAAAAGATGCCGGAAGCTGCCCTAGGGTCTGCGAACCGGCCCGGAGGAGAGTGTGGTCCCCTCCAGCTCCTGCACATCCGCCCTGCTCCACGGAGGGTGTTAACAAGCTCCCCGCTGTTCTCCCTTCTGCTTCCGCCCCCGGCCGGCTTCTGAAACCCTAAACCGCACAGGGTGCCACTCTAAAGACAAAGAGGTAGTAGCTGCAAAATTAGAGAAGCCAGAGGCCACAAGGTTCTGTTTTGTTTTTCTAGGAAAGAGTGTGAAACGGGAGAGTCTGTCCGTCCCCAGGCTGGGAGAGCCCTCTGGGTTTGACGTAACTCATTCCCACAGGCTCTGCTCTGCTGTAACCCATGTTTGCCAGCGGGGCGCTGAGGGTGAAGGGAGATGGTCCCCGGGTAAAGAGAGGGTCCAGGCGGCAGGGTGGACCCACCCACACTGGACTTTCCTGGAATAAAATCCAGAGAAGTCTACACATGCTGGGAGGAGGTGGTGAGATGCTCAGTGGCCGACCTGTACAAGCGACAGCGCGTGCAAATTGCCTTTGGAGGGTCAGCGAGGCCGAGGCCCCTTGCTTCCAGGAACAGCCTACAGGGCGGCCCCTCATTTCACAAGAGCTGGTTTCTAATGCAAGATATGCCTCCGCCCCTTCTTCGCAGGCAGCCTTACTTGGAAGCGAATGATTTAGTGTTCCTGAGAGAGGATTGTACAAAGAGAGTACTCATTAGAGGGGGCTCAATCTGTCAGGTGCTGTTATATTGGGATCAGAGAGTCATCATAAAATGACTTTCATCCTGGTCCTGGCTGGTAATTAACTGCATGGCATCGCCTGTGTACTGGGAAGAGGCACCGTGCTGAAATATGCATCGGTTTAATGATCTGAGCAGAGAGACTCGGTTCCCTGTATTTGCCTCCACTGCCTGCGTACGGATCTCTCCCCCATATTTCTGACATTTGGATTTTCCCCCTACTAATTGACATGCCTGTCGCCTCCTTCTCCTGGTGTCCATTTCTGGAACTGCTATTTGTATATTGCATGAGGTTTTATCAGGGAAAAAAATAAAACTGAGATCCAATTTCACGAAAATGCTGTTGCCATAATGCTCAGGAGAACGGGGGGAAGAGAGAGATTCAAGGCTTCCTAATGTCTACCTTACATGCAGGTACATTTTCAAAGTTCTATTGTATTCTGACTTATTAAGCAGTGCATATTTTTTTTCTTTTACATCTAGCTTTCATTGCAGAAGGGGGTTGGGAGAATGAGACAGCTAGACGCTGGATGGAATTCATATATACCAGGGCTGTAGGTCTCCGAAAGATATTACAACCCTCAAATTTCTTAGGCATGAAAAATATAAGTAGTCACTTGATTATATTTGCTTTATCTGTGTTTTACCTGAGACAGATGGCTATACTGCAGTGATGTTTTCAGGCTGCTCCAAGCCTCAAATCTCTACGCACAGCAACTCGAAAAATGGAAGGAGGTTGCCTAAGGCTGAGGTGTTTAGGATCAATTGCTAGTCAGTTTCAGGTTGGACTTAAATATCTCCTGCTATAAAATCTCAGAATGGAAGTCTTCCCATAGTGCTTTGTGGTACAGCATCAGTGTATACAGGTGTGCACTGGGTTCCTACACTGTTACCTACCTATCTAGGTATCGCTGGAGGCTTTGCTAACCTTTCATTACCTGCTCTCTCATAATATTCTTTTCATCCTCTGTGCTATTTTTTCTCTCCCGAGCTTGTGAGCAAGGCTTGTATCACAGCCTGCTCCGCCTGAGTAATTCACTAAGAAAGTCCCACGCAAACGCATGTGGGTGATAATATTTCATCACTTAAACCTCTCTTGAGCTCGGTGGACACATACCCAAGGGAGAGAAAAAAAGGGCCTAAAAATGGGTAGGAGGGATGACTACTGCACCTCATAGGGAACACCTCAGAAATGTTGCCGGACGGGAGGAAAGACTTTGGAAGGCTGGAAGGGAAAACACCTGAAAGCACGTTTTCCTTTGCTTTTGTGCTTTCAGAATTTTTCAAGTGTTTTTAAGAACTCACTCACTGAACCGGCATGCCAAGGGTTAAGCGGCCAAGCTCCTGGCTGTTCCCCTCCACCCACATCAGGATACAAAATGCTGCACATCCTTCCCACAGCCCCCCTCCAGCATCTCAGGTTCACGGGCGCCTGAACAACTCCAGTGAAACAAGCAATAGTAACAAGCAGTGTTTCATTTTTGATATGGTTTTTTCCTCACCGGGGTCCTGCTCAAAGTATGCTGCCCTTCTCCATGTGGGTAATGATTCAATCCCTAATGTTAATGTAAAGAACCTTGTTGTTTATGGAGAAGTTAAAGTCACCATGGCGGGTGGAGGGAAGCCTCGGCGTAAAACGCGGCTATGACTTTAATTTTCCGTCCTTCACCAAGGTTTCCCTGTGCCTAGACGTGGTATAGTCATTGGTGGGAGAATACAGAGCTAGCATGTGTGTTCCCTGAAGCACTAATTTTGCATTTGGACTGTTTCCAGGGGTTTCTGCAAAAAGCAGCCAGTGAGGCCTTAAAGGTTATGCCTCCTTTAACCTACAGGAGAGGGTCTTGCCTGTAGCAGAACTACAAGTTTGGTTATAAATTAGCTTTTGATTTTTTTTAGCCTGAATATCTTTTCTTAGGATGTGCTATTGAATTGTAAGTGCTCAGCCACATTCCTGCACCTTTCATTTAAAGGGCGATGCAAAAGTTTAAATATTTAGAGAGAAAGGGATTTTAGTTTCCTAAAAGAAGTAGAAAAAATGCTGAAGGTTCAACCCACAGTCTTTCAGAGACTTCTTTCAAAGTTCCTGAGAACTCTTAATGGATTTTGGAGCTAGGAATCAGTTGGGTAGGAAGCATTCTGAACTACAGCTAAGAGATCGTGCCTGAGTATATTTTAGCAGAAGAGGGGGCAAGACGAATACGTGTTTTCAGGAAAAGTCCTGGGAAGGTACGATTCCTGGCTCACCAAATATGAAAACTGCATTTCTACCCTGACGCTCTACCCACACCCCGACTCCAAGGCACCTCCTCCACCGGCCCAAACCACTAACACATCTCTTTTCCCATCTTTTCCCAACCATTTCTCTCTAACACTCCCGGTTCGGAAACAAACACATACTCCAAAGTCATAAGCTCTGTTCCCACAAGGTGTTAAATAAATAGACTTTCTCCTCCCTGTTCGAAGTCACTTGTCATTTGTCGCTGTTGAAAGCCGTTGATAAGACAGGACAACTAGGCAACCACATCAGGGGAGATGGAAGAGGTTTTTTTGTAAAAGCCCAGGCGGCCGTATTAGGGAGAGATGTGTGAGCAAAGCAGTATTGCTGATGATTCATGGTCACATTTCTCCCCGCTCTGCTTTGTTTGCTTCTGAAATTTATCATTCCTCTGTCTTCCATAGAGCTCCGGAATGTTCACTTGTATCACTAGAATTCCCATTTCCTTTCCTTCTGTCTCATTTAAAATGTTACAGGTAGTAGTCATGTCCCTCCCAACCCATAAAATCCTAACTTTTCCTGCAGAATGATAAGCAGGAGGGGGTAGCTGATAATCACCAAGATTAGGGCGATTCAGGCTAGGGCTTCCAGTAGGTGAAATTGTGTTTCCCTAAAAGATTAACTGGTTAAGGAGCAAAAGTCTTTGGAATGCGCCCTCTTGTGGCCGATCATTTCCCATTATTCCGCGAAGAAAGCGTGTAACCCCTAAAGACACCCTCCAGTGAGGGCGAACTCCCAGGCAAGTTCAGAAGACTGGCGTGGGGTGATGGGAGTCAACTCCACCTTGAGACGGCTTTCTTGGGGTGGAGGAAAATAGTCCTCCCAGCAAGCTGCCTTCGACCCCTGTTGGGGAACATTTGTGTACATTTCTAACTCAAAGCTTCTGTACCTAGTATCTTCCAAGGGAGGAGGTTTATGTGTTGCTTTCAAACCCACATGGCTGGGCTATGTAAGCATTTTCTATTTCGTGGTGCTTGATTGGTCTTTCTTTGCCTATCCATTCTTCAACAAGTGCTATCAATTTCTAACTTCATTACCAGAATCAGAGTATAAATTTGGCCTCATAGGAGGACTCAAGGATACAAGGGTGGAGGGCTCAAGGGTGCTTTTGACCAGCGATTGTCACAAATGAAAAAAAAAAGAGAGAAATTAGGATAGAGCGGTCAAGAAGACCAGTGGTTTTGACTTCGATGACAATTATGGTGAGAGTTGGCTTGGCCCTACCCATCTCTTCCTCCTTTCCTTTAAGGCGTTAAAGTAAACAACAGAGGATTATTCTGTTGCCAACCTTGCAAAGAATACAGTCATCTCAGTGAGCAGTCTGGGGTGACAGACTTGAAAATCAATTTTGTTTGTGGGAATACACGTCAGAGAGCCTGAGGGCAAGGCTTCGCTGCTTAGTCAATAACAACTCATATCAGCTTTACCAAGATGGGGTGATTTCCACCTAAGCACAAGGGGACAGACTCAGTTCAACAAGTCCCTGGCCCTCGAGTTTTTGGAGTTCCTCAACTGCAGTGGCCATGTCTTGGCCTTATTCAACCATCCTGATGGGCAGAGGCCACAATTAAACAGGAATCCCCAAATGAGGAAACTTGAGCCTGAAGGTTGCATCTAGGGGTGAACATCTGTGACATGCATGCAGGTGACAGATGACTTACTGACTGGATTCTATGCTGTACAGAACAGTTTCTAAAGAAAAGAAAAATGAATGCCCTTTGCTACCCCCTCCCCTAGGACCTTGACGTTTGACGTCGTTTGAGCATTGCTAAGGTTGAATTGTTCCAAAAGTAACACGACATTTTCGTATATTCACTACAATCAACCTGAAGGTAAATCTCTTTCCTGGGTCAGCAAAAGAATAGCAAAATACTCACATGGTACTTACTCTATTTGGAGAGTAGATTGTCCACAGAGCAGTCGTTTTTGTGAAATCATACAAAATCGACTTAAAGTTGAGGCGTGAAACTTCTCAAACGAGAACAAGCAAGCGCGTCATAAACCTTTTCTAAGAATCCAGCGGCTCGCCCAAAGTCAACTCGTAAACTCAACCAGGAGGACTTTTGCATTACAGACCTTAAGCTTTAGTCAACATGTAAGTCAAATGGATCCACCTTTTCAAAAAGTAGCTCAATTTCTTTCAAACTGAACACCTACCGGAAAAGATCTTTTTAAAAATGACGAGATTTCATATAACTGAGAAAAAGATTGGCACTGAGACGAGGGCCATAAGTAAAAAAGAAGGTAAAAAGTCAAATTCTTTTACTGCAAAATCTCTCAATGCCAAGAGAGTGATTTGCTACACAAGTCAGAGAAGCCAGAAAGTGGGCATATTGCTAGCATCAGGCGTAGAGTTAAAAGTGGCCAAAGGCAGAGGTCTACCTAGTCATATGATGTGGGAAAAGCCAATTGAGGAAGAGCTGCAATTAAGGCCATTCTGTGTGGCAACTGGTATATAGAAACATATATAGGGTCCCTCTGTGGCAGAAGAAGCAGTCCCTAGACCACTGGAATCCCCATTCCCAGCTCAGGACCCCAGGAATGGTTGAGAAAAACTGGGTGGCAACTCAAAAACTCCAACCTGCCTTTTTTCACTCAATAAGCTTCACAAGATAAAGTCAAAAGTATCATGTCCTTTGCAGCTGCATCCAAAAAAAAAAAAAAAAAAGCTTTAAGCGAAGGAAGTCAGACGTTCTTGAAAAGAAAGAAGCTTCTGGTGAGACAGCTAAACTGCCTGCAGGACACCAGGGCTTTTCCTACGGGAAGCCAGCAAGCCTGCAAGCTATCTCCCCCAGAAGGATGCCCAGGTCTCTGATGGTTTTCTTGGAAATATAACATCTGAGTCAACAGGTTTTCAGGACTGGAAATTCTGAGTGTTGCCTTAATTGTTTATACTACTGCGGCAAACTTTTAAACAGCAATGCTGGGAGTCCCGGCACATACTTTACTGGCCATATGCTCCACCAAACAAAACAATGGCATTCCTTTCAAATGGATTTGGCAAGAGAGACAGTTCTTTAGCCTGGCATTACCATGAAAGTAACATGAAATTAACACATCTGTGTGACTGGGCTGCATGCAGGGGCTGGTAGGCTGGCAAAAGGATCTGGGTCACCTAACTGTAAAAATAACCTGGCCCCCAGGGTCTCCAGCCCGCCCTTTTGACAGGTAATTTTTTTCTTCAGCAACAGGTTAGCTCGGTCCTGAGCCAACGATGAGAATCTATGTATTAAAGTTCTTCCTCTTAAGGATTGAGGGAGCGCTCAGCGTAGTATCTGAGAGCACTTTGTCAAGGTTGCATTCCTTGGCCGAGAGCTCTTAGTAACTTTACAGAGAACAAAACTCTTTTTTTCTTTTTTTTTTTGGTTCAGAGAGCAAAAGTCAGTGCTCCGAAAGGGACTGCTGGTTCAATGTCATCTGTTCCCTAACCCCCCCAGCCCCCAAAGTTGCTTTTCGCTGCCTAGAATGTGATGCTGTGCTCTTACAGGCAGAATTTCTAAAGGTTAAAATGACTGTCACTAATATGCCCTGCTTCTCGGATGTGGCCCCTGATTGGATTTTTTTTTAAAGAAAAGGGGTTGTTTTTAAGACAATGACTTCATCTGTGCCATGCCGCCCCGATCCCGCGCTCGCCGCCCCTCCCCTCCCCCCAGTAAAAACTTGGGATGGGGTCCGGAAGCCTCCAGGCTCCCCCGACACCCCCTCCCCGCGGCCAGCACCCGAAAATGCCCTGGCTTTCCTCCGGGCTGCTCTGATCTGGTTTCCCCGGCAGGCCGAGGGAGCCTCTCTCAGAGCGGCTTCCTGCTGCAGATCCGGCCGAGAGCTTCCTCCCGGGCGACGGGCTGAGATACGCAAGTGTGACCTAGCCACCTCCTGCCGGGGCTCAGCCCAGGAGCCCGGCTCTGTGCGGTCCTCTCCCCCTCCCATGCCGTCCCCCAATAACTCCTGACCTTGCCCGGCAGGGTACCCCTGGAGGGCAAGAAGTTCCTCCCAGGACTGTCAGAGCAACGTGACCCCCCCCGCCCCATCCCCCCAGGGCCAGCACCCACCTGACTCCGCGAACGTGATGATCTCCGAGGTCTGCTCCATAAGTTCATTCATTTCTGCCCTTCTGCCGATGTCATCCTCTATCTCCACGTACCCGTTCTCCCCGACTTTGCCCACATGAAGCTTTCTGATCGCGTTCAGAAGCGCCGCCTTGGGTACCGGCTGGGTGACATCGGGTCTCTTCTTCAAGTGCAGCATGTTTAAAATGTGCTTCTTGACGGCCTCCACCATCTCCGGCTGAGAGTTGGGTACGTCCTTTGGGAGGGTGGCCAGCGCACAGGACGGGCAGTCGGGGGTTGCACTGTGCCCCTCGGATCCCGGGGTGGGGGAACTCCTCACTATAATCCAGCAACTCGCCAACAAAAATCCTCGTAGCCAAAGCAAGGGCATCCTGGCAGCAAAAGTTGTTGTGATTGCCCTTTTTAAAGGCTCTGCTTTTCCTCCCCCCCACTCACGCACAGGTTTTTTTTTTATTTTTTTTTTTTTTTCCTTTTTTGGTTTTTTTTTTTTCTTTCTCCTCTTCAGTCAATTCTCTGGAACAAGAACAAAAAGTTTTCTGTGAAGTTTTGTTTGCAGGTTCCCTCTCTGAATGCAGTCAGTGCTGTAGGTTTGTAGCTGTCAGGGAGGAGAGTTCTGACTGTCTCCCAGTAAAAGAGAAGGAGGGAGGGAGGGAGGGAGGGATGGAGGGAGGGAGGGAGAGACAGGGTTGGGGGGGGAGACAGACAGAGACAGAGAATGGATGGGAGGGAAAGAGAGACTGGGAAAGAGGAGAGAGGGGGAGAGAAGAGAGAGGGAGAGAAGGGGGAGAGGGAGAGGGAGAGAGGGAGGGAGGGAGGGAGGGAAGGAGGGAAAGAGAGAGAGAGAGGGAGAGAGAGAGAGGGAGAGGGAGAGAGAGGGAGTGATTGGCCCTAAGTGAGTGAGTGAATGAGAGAGGGAGGGAGTTTGTCTGTGAGTAAAGGCTGTGCTTAGGAAGGGGAGGGACAGCCCTTTCTGACAGGCTGCCTGCCTTCTACTCACTGCTCCCTCACACACACCTCTCTTCAAATATCACCGATCTCCTCTGGAGTTCTACTTTCCCTTCTGCAAGAAATTCTCCTGATTTGCTGCTCTTGCTGTTGCTTCTTTCCCCTTTCTTTCTCTGCCCAGAGTCCCCTGGCTTCACCTTCTTCCTCTTTTGCAGGGGAAAGGAAAGCCCCAATCAATGGCCTGTCTCCATCGACAGGGAGGACCACACGGAAACAGCCTGCCCCCAGCACCCCTCCATCCTGCCTGGCCACAGCCTGGAAGGTGGGGCTCGGAAGGAGGGGTCACTGGGGGCAGCCTGATCGTGCTGGCCAGAGGGAATCCCTGCAGACCCTCCTTTTCCCCCATTCATTCATATTTCAACGTTCAGGGCCATCAACACCGGCGGGCTATCAGAGGGGAGCGCAATAGAACTTTTGTTTGGGGTCATATAATACACTCTACTTTTCCCAACTGCAAAATGCAGCCGGGCATTGAAAGATCCACAGGCAGGCAGGCAGCATGGTACACGCTCTTGTCATGTGAAGCTCTGTCCCCTCTCTTTAGCCGCCGCCCCTCCTACCCGGCACACACACACTCCCGGATGACAGCTCACCACCGCTGGCCCTGACTTCACAGACAAAATGCAAAATTCCGTTGGCCTTTCCCACATTATTTTATACAAGTAGTGCACTCCTGTGACTTGAATAACTGGTCCTAGGGGGAAAGAATCTCTAAAATATATTGGCAAATTATTTTCTCTGTCATGTGGTAGTTTGTTCAGCCTGCCCCCTACCCCCATCCCGGACCAGTCTGTTCACGGACTGGCCTCTCGATGGCTTCTTTTTCTCTCAAAGGAACAGCACAGATGAAATCATCATGGATTTCAGTGTTCACGGAAAAAGAAAAATGTGAATTTTTAAACAATGCCTCTCTGAGTTTTTTAAATTCTCTTCCCCCCTGCCCCCCCTTTTTTTTCATTTTCTGTCTTATTGCTTTTATCTTGCAGAAGTATCTTTAAGAGGTCCATCTGTTAAAGCTTCCCTTCCCTCTCGGTTTTTTTTTTTTTTCCCCACACATAAGCCCTCTCAGTTTCTGTAGATACAGTCAGCTTAGATCTGACACCTAGTGTGTTCACAGCATTAGAGTCAGGCAATGCACTTTGGGTGGGAAAAGTTAATAAACAGCATTACTTGCAAGCATAAGAGCTGAGGGTAAGGGGAGGAGGGTGAGGCCAGTGTGATACTAAGTTACAATTACAGTTTGCACAGGTAACAATGCTTTTCTGAATTGGATACCCTGCCCACCTTTGCTGAAGTATCTGCCTGCGAGACTTTCTCTGTTACCATCAATTACACTCTGCTATTATTGTTAAGATTTTGTTGACCTTCCCTAAAGAGTCTAATTTTTTTTAAATTGGGGGATGGTGAAAGAGAATGGGGAAGGAGGGGGAGCATTTGTGTTAATCGTCGCTTAATAAAATACCCTGGAAATAGAAGACTTATAATCTAACTATTTGGCGTCACATATGCAATACCCAAAGCATTTTGTAGCCCAATTAAGTTTTACAAGAGAAGCTGAACTAGAACTCAAAGTTTCACGACTACCAACAACTTGAGAGTCCCAATAGCTGCATTTAGATAAGAGCAACTCATCCTTTGAACTCTCTCTGTATGTGAGTTTGTGTGTGTTCCCTGAATTGACTGTTTGTGAATGTCACTTAAAAATCAGCTTTCTCTTTGGCACAGGTCCTTGTAGAGAGGTGCTGAACTGGGTTGTAGAAACGCATAATCTATTTGCATGCTCTACTATTAAAAGCTCTACTAACTTGCTTGAATATGTAAAAAGGTACAGATCACAATCTGCATGGAAGGGCCAGTAAGTTGTAAATTCCTGCTCACCATTCTGACTATGAACGTGGAAAGAGCTCAGAAGTAAGAGTGAAAAAGCATTACCTTTCCGGTCCTCTCACCAGCAGACTCTCGTCTCATGTGGTAAGAGCTGTCCAAGTTCCTCTTCATGCTATTGGCACTGAGCAGTTTTATACTGTACTACTTACTTGTACAGTCACACACGGGTACCAGTCAACCAGAAGAGGGCTGGGGCTTTGTTTGGGATTGGTTAGAAGCAACATGACATCAGCAGATGACTGGTTTTTCCAGTGTGAGACATATTTCATAACTCATTATCTAATGGAAAGCCTTTCTTGGCTGCTGTGACACTACTGGGTGATCACTGAGGCAGTGAAAAACCTCTGACTGACTGGACTCCCTTTTAGAAAAATCCCGGAATCCAACAGCTCTAGCTCACTGAGGTTCCAACTTTTCTTTGACCAAACATGCACACACTTCTCATTATATTCAGGCTTGGTTTTATATCTTCACATAAAACATCTGTTACTTCATGAAGTTGCCTCTATTTACAAAGTATTTTATTGTTCCTAACAGGGAAGAAAAATTCACAGTGCTTTTCAGAGAGATTCTGAGTTTACTTTTTAAAATAAGATAGTTCAGGAAGGGGGGAAAACATAGGAAAATATGTATACCTCTATGGGATGATCTCCCCTCCCCTGACTTACACTATTATTTTCCATCTTGAATAACTTAATTTTAAAAAATAAGATATTGTATTGAGAAAAAGAAAAGGAAAATATGTATACTTACAGGCTGATAATCTCCCCTCTGCTGACTTACACTATTATTTTCCATCTTGAAATTGAATGCCTGCTTTATAAATCATTTATCACCAAGAACTTTGGAAATAGTCATTCTCTGCTAGCGAACTTTAAGTGTATCCTTCCCAGTCTTTAGAATCCCAGTCTAACTAGCAAAAAAAAAAGAAAAAGAAAAAACTACATCATTCTTCTTTACCAGAACGTCAAGTCCTATGATTTCTAAATTGTTACAAATATAACATGAGATTAATGAAAAGAAGTGAACGTTTCTTGAAACGGGAGTTAAGTTGGTCAGGGTGTTTAGGGGGAGGGAGAAGGCAGTGTTAGCAAGCCAGGGAAATAACACAGGAGAAAGGACTCCTCAGACAAGAACGCTGGGGAAGGGTTGTTTGAAGGAGTATAGCTGAAGCCTAAGCTGGGCACTCATGACAAGTTGAATAAAATGTGCAAAATTGGGAGCTAATGAAAGCCATATGACCAGATATGCTGTTTTGTATGCAGGATTTAACATGCATAAAATAAACTTTTCACTGTGCCCACAAGCAAAATATAGAGGCTCTGGCCTCCTGATGTGTAGTTTAAGCAGGTTCCTTTAGGACACCAGAAGTCTGTCTCAGGGGGTCTGTCCTGGCTAAACACAGAGAAAGTGTGGGTGCTGAGCTGTGTATTGGGGTGGGGGGAGTGTTCTGAGAATTGCATATGCAGAAATGAACTAGGAAATAAAATCTTTAGGTTGTACAGGAACAGAGGGAATCTGAGAAGGAAAGATAGAAACTGGATCAGTGTTGGTTAACTCCAAAGCTGCCCATCAGTTTCAAACTGGACGGAGCCAGCCCTCTCTAAGAAAGGAACTTCCCCAGCCTTTTCGCATGAGCAGTCCAGGACAGCAGTGTCCGGCCGGGCATCTAAACGCACCCCTCCCCCCAACATGAACGTTGGTGTCCTGGAAATACCACCATGTTTATGAGTTTGGGGGCACAAACCAACCCGGATGAGACCCTGATTCCACTGCTTACTAACCAGATAACATCGGGCCTCAGTGTCTTCATCTATAAAGTGGGATCCACAATACTCCACTGCAGGGTCAAGCACGGTGCTCAGCAAATACTAGGTGATACGATTTCAGAGATGCCCCGGTGCCTCCCTCTGAACATCTGTGTCACAGGAATCTGCAGCACCCCGACCAGAGGAGACACCCTCTCTCGGGTGACTCAGATCGCGTTGGCCACGGATGCCACCGAAGGGCCCACCTGCCTAGGTCAGCCCACCAGCTGTGATGTCATTCTCCACCTGAATCCCCAGCCTCAGAGCTGAGCCACGCTGGAAATGCCTCCTCACTCAGTGGAAATGAGGTGGGAGTGGGAGGGGAAGTTGGCAGGTTAAAATAACTTCTGTCGACTATTCTGGATGGCGGAATGATCTTTTCCGTCCCGGACTCCAGGGCCCAGGGGCGGGGAGCTGGTTCGCCCAGCTCCTGATACGCATCTCCCGTTCCTTCCTCGGCTTGGTTTCTCTTTCACTTCCTGCCCCCCTCCCCCCGCGGCTCCCCGACCCCGGCCCTGCGGTCCCGCTGCTCGGCCTGCTACCGTACCTTGAGCAACACCTGCTGGCAGCTCCCGGGGATCACGCCGGATCGCGGCCGCTGCTCGGGCCCGGCTCGCGGGGCCGGAGTCCGGGCCAAGCAGTGCGCAAGCGGCCGCCTCTATTTTTACCCCGAGCACCAGCAAGGGCAACTTCTTTTAAGAGCAGCTCCTGATTTTTTCCCCCCTTTTGGCAGCTAGAGAATTCAGAGAGGGAGGGGGGAAAAAATCACTGATCAGTGAGGGCGGCTGGGAATCTCTGAACCCAGCCATCAGGGCTCAGGGTTGAAAGCACGGCCAATGTCAGGGACCGGGACCGGGACCTGCGGGCTGGCTCCGGGGCGGACAGACGCGCGCGGGGAGCGCTCCTGCCCCGCCGGCTCTGTCCCCTTTCCGATCGCGGAGCCGGGTCC